TCTTTCTCTATACGAAGCCCACGTCACCAAATAAAGCCCAGCTATAATCAAAAGTCCTCCAAGAATACTGTTTTCAAAATTTATGGATGAAATTAAATGTCTGTAAAGAAAAGCATGGATATTAAAAAAGAAGAGTGGAAGAATGATAACCTTCCCAAATAAATCGAGCTTCCGAGGAATATTCTCGACAGAAAAGCCGATGCTGCAGGTTGGAGAGGGTTATATAAAGCAACCAATGCAGGGCCGAGCGTTTTATTGGACCATGTCAGAAGTCCGTAGTTCAAAGCAGATGCTATAACTCCCTACACGAGAGGCAAATGTATTGAAAGGGTCGGTTCAAGAACGAGGAAATAGAGAAATCCCGTTATTTTTCTGGCCGACTTACAGCATAGCATACGGCGAAAACCTCAGAGCGAGTGAGATTCCAGTCGGTTGATTCGTTTGTCATGAAAAAAGTGGTGACTACCATGAACAAACAACGTAACCGAAAAAGTAGGAATATGCTGTCACCGATATACACGCGGGATACTTGGCTAATAGTGGAGCCTGCACAGAAAGTTAAGCTCGATAAGCATCTAATATCGAGTTATTAAACTCGTGCAGATACACCTATAGTGGGAGAGAAAATCATTATATTTAAAAAATGGCTAATCTCCCCAACCAAACGTTGAGAGTGATATACGTTGATTACCTGAATGGCGGGATAAGTGGCCATGCACATGCTGTTCCCGAGACCGATTAATCGGCCGCCTCGGCAGATTTTCAGAACACTGCTTTTAACTAATGGAATCCAATTTCTTCTTTATAACGGATCGTCCGTTCATAATTTAAACTCCATAAGGGTGCGCATGTGGACCGGATGGTCCGTCTATGGAAGAAAAACGGATGCTAATAGTTGAATTAAATGACTATTAAGAGGGGTTTTAAATGATTTTCATTATTATACTTATCTATGCATAAACAAATTATCTCCAGCGAAGAAGAAGAAGAAGAAGAAGAAGAAGAAGAAGAAGAAGAAGAAGAAGAAGAAGAAGAAGAAGAAGAAGAATAATAATAATAATAATAATAATAATAATAATAATAATAATAATAATAATAATAATAATAATAATAATAATAATAATAATAATAATAATAATAATAATAATAATAATAATAATAATAATAATAATAATAATAATAATAATAATAATAATAATAATAATAATAATAATAATAATAATATTATTATTATTATTATTATTATTATTATTATTATTATTATTATTATTATTATTATTATTATTATTATTATTATTATTATTATTATTATTATTATAATTTGCTATTTTGATACATCATAGGGAAGAGCATGGGCTCCTTCGACCCTACATCCGGTGAAAAACATCGGGTATGTCTTCTGCTGTCACGTGTCACTTTTAGTATTTTTATAAAACCCCTAAAAGTTAATCCAAGTGGGGGAATATATTATAAAATGCCAAAAAGTCCATGTGCCAGCATAAGACCCACCCGATGTTTTTCACCAGGTGTAGGTTCGAAGAAGTCGAAGAGTATAATCCTCGATATGCTGGAAAAAAGTCGAGGCAATTAACTAGGTCTTGAATAGTACGTTAAAATTTTCGAGGGTTCAGAGGAACTGCGCGTGACGACGGTCGTCCCAAATGACATGCATGCATGCATGGGGACTTAATTATTTTAATAATTAAAATGAAATTCAAGAAATATGTTTTCATGTTACAAATAATTGAGGTGTGTTAATTAATTATCTTGAATTTTTTTTTCTCTAAAAAAAATAAATAATTAATTATCATGAACATGCATGCGTGTACGTATGTCGTATATGCAGCGTGATGGAGACGGTTCCTAACATGGTAGGCTGCAGAAGAATATTCCGGCGACTGCACGGTGGCTAGCCGCATGTACGGACAAGGTTGCTACGGCAGCGAACCCATTTTCGTGGCTAGGGAGCCCAGGGCCGGCTCTAGTGCATAGGCAACCTCGTAGAGTGGCACATGGCTTCCATTCGATCTTTGCGGAGAAATTGATCTCGTAATTTCACTTCTGCTTCGATCTCAAATTTAAGATTATTGGTTTTTTTTTTTTTTTGAATTAATATTTTTTTTCTTCCAAATTATTTGTCATTACATAATTCCAATAATATATTAATTTCACCTCCATTTTTTTTTTAATTTTGCTAGTTATTACTCTTAATTAACTGACACAATTAGTTGAGAATCTGACAAGGGTATTTTTGTAATTCTCTCTCTCTCTCTCTCTCTCTCTCTCTCTCTCTCTCTCTCTCTCTCTCCCAGACGGAGAAGCAGTCAGCAGCCGTTTTGTCAAGAATTACAAGCACAATTTAGAGAAAGAAAAGGATTCGCTTGTGATTCAGCCAAAATTTATGGGCAAATAAGTAATTTTACAACATAACTGACGGTGTTACTGTTTTTAAAGCTGAGCATATACCATCATACAAAATGTTGTGATTATTTCTGTTTTGCACTAATTTTCAATTTGTCGTCTGTATGGACAAATGTTTATACTCGATTGGCTGGGGGTTCAGATGATTGACCACATTGAACAAATTATAAAAAATAATTATTGATAAATATTTACATAAATATAATAATTATTCGTATTTCACATGGATTTGTAAAAAATTAAAGATCTCCACTATACATTAAAGAAGTTGAATCATTTGCAAAGTCAACTGCTGTTATTATCAATGATTATTACCTTCAGAATTAAATAATTTCAGGTGAAATATTAATTTCTATTTTATAAACTCCGTGGTCACATATTAATTTGCATTGAGTTTTGAAATAAATAAATTGATTTATTTATTTCAAAAAATCCGGAAACTAGTGGGAAAAAAAAGTAAAAAACAAAAAAAAAAAAGAAAAAGTCAAAATTGAATTTTTTATTCAAAATTAATAAAATTAAAATTAAATTGAAATTATAATTAAAAATTAGGTTTAAAAAATTAGGGTTAGTTTTACGATACATATTAATTTTGTTTTTATTTATAATACAAAATGAGCTTATTGACGAAACAAGTATACCATATACATAGAATAATAAAAATAGTTGGTTGATGCGCATAAAAAACCCTATGAACAATAATTCAATCAATTACAGAAATGAAGGGTTTTTCTTCCTCTTTCATACAAAATTATTCTCAGATTAATTCATCATCAGTGAGAATTAATGAAAAACATAATAGAATTAGTATTTCTCATCGGACACGTGTCATCGTCTTCACCGCCGGAAAGAGAAGAATATTTCTCCGATCAAGAAAGCTTGCAGATTCAGACAGTGGTACTTGTCCAAACAAATCACTACTCACAAATATCTTCAAATGGTTGGATGAATTCATCTGCGATTTCATTGACCCGCCGCTCCGCCCCTGTGTTGACCCAAACCACGTACTCTCCGGCAACTTCGCCGCCGTGGAGGAGCTTCCACCCACCGCATGCACGGTGGTCCAGGGCTCACTTCCGCCGTGCCTGAATGGCGCTTACATACGCAACGGCCCGAACCCGCAGTTCTTTCCACGTGGGCCCTACCACCTCTTCGACGGCGACGGCATGCTCCACTCGATCAGAATCTCCGGCGGCGAAGCCGTGTTCTGCAGCCGTTTTGTCAGGACTTACAGGTACGAGCTAGAAAGAGAAATGGGTTCGCCGGTGATTCTCAAAGTCTTCTCCGCCTTCAACGGCCTCCTCTCTTCCCTGTCGCGCTGCGCCGTTTTTTCGGGACGCGTACTCGCCGGCGAAATCGACCCCCGCCGCGGCGCTGGTGTGGCGAACACCAGCCTGGCGCTGTTCGCCGGAAAACTCTTCGCCCTCGGCGAGTCCGATCTTCCTTACTCAGTGAAACTAACACCCGACGGAGATATAATCACCCTCGGACGCCACGTGTCGTTCGGCGAGGCGTACATGACGATGACGGCCCACCCGAAAATCGCGGCGGATTCCGGCGAGGCCTTCGCTTTCCGGCACAGCATCACCCACCCATATCTCACATACTTCAGAATCAACCCCGACGGAATCAAGCAGCCGGAAGTTCCCATAAACTCGTTGAAGCAAGCTGCGTTGGTCCACGATTTCGCCGTCACGGAAAACTACGCCGTCTTCTCCGACCCGCAGATCGTGATAAAACCGTCGGAGGTTCTGCGCGGGAAGCCGCCGATCGGAGTTGATCTGGGGAAAGTCCCGAGGCTGGGGATTATCCGGAAGTACGCGGTGGATGAGAGTGAGATGTGGTGGGTGGAGTCGCCGGGGTTCAACATGAACCACGCCGTGAACGCGTGGGAGGAAGACGGCGGCGACACGGTGGTGATGGTGGCGCCGAATATATTGGGGGTGGAGAATGTGTTGGAGCGGCTAGATTTGACACAGAGTTCAATGGAAAGGATTGAAATTAATGTGAAGACGAAGAAGATGAACAGGAAATCGATCTGCAATGGAAATCTTGATTTTGCAGTCATCAATCCTGCTTACGTTGGGAAGAAGAACAGGTAACTTAAATCAACTAGATTAAATCAACTAGATTGAATGTTTTATGACAAAGTTATACGCGAATGAGTGACGTCTTGAATTTTAGATAACTCATCAAGACATTAAAGTTGTGAATAGTGTTCATTGTTTCATGTATATTTTTCTCATTCGACATTCAGTTCTGGTGATTCAAGTTGGATTAGAAATCTAACTAAAAAAACTACAAATTCTATATTTCGAGTTTTGCAAAATTTTGATTAGAAAATAATCAAAATCGTGTATGAAGTCGAAACAGTATTATTACAGCAGATTTATCGCAACTTAAAAGTAAACGGAAAGAGAGCATTTAGCTTCATGTACATTTTGCATTTGCGTGCAATCAACATGAATTGTGTATAATACAAAAGTAAGCGTCGCTTTGATTTTTTGCCTGAGGATATTATATTGCTGCATTTTAATTAATTAATTAATTAATTAATGCCACGTGGATATTGATTCCACGTAATATTACAGATACTTGTACGCAGCAATAGGTGACCCAATGCCAAAAGCAGTAGGGGTGGTGAAGATAGACCTCTCACTTTCAACGACGGTCAACTCCGGCGACTGCACGGTGGCAAGACACCTATTTCCGCCAGGCTGTTACGGCGGCGAACCGTTTTTCGTGCCAAAAGCGGCGGCGGCGGAGGAGGATGATGGGTATCTAGTGAGCTATGTGCATGATGAAAATAGAAATGAATCAAAGTTTATAGTAATGGATGCAAAATCACCTAATCTTGAAATTGTTGCTTCTGTTAAACTTCCCCAAAGGGTTCCTTATGGATTCCATGGAATCTTTGTCCCCCAATGTGAACTAGAAAAACTATATGATAATTAATTTCTCCATTTTTTAAATTTAGTTTTTCTTCTTTGATTTGGTAAATAAATTTTATTGAGAGATTTTCTTTTTAGTTTTTATAACGAAGGAACTCTTAGATATTTTTTATGTTTGGTTAGGGGTATAAATTGGACAGATTGGATCGGATTTAACCTTTACAGAAAAATTCCAATTTTTTTTCCGAAAGTGAAAAACTAGTTCCAATTGTGTTCTGAAAAAAATCGAAAATCGGAATTTTGAAAATTGGAACGAAAAAACTTGTTCCAAAATCGAAAAATTTGGGAACGGAATCAGCGGTGGAAATTTCCAATTTCTGGTCATCTTGAATATAAAATACATAGTGTTGGTATTTTAAGTGTAATATTCGAAAAAATAAAAACCTGGAATTTTTTGAACTTAATTAAATCGCGGAAATTGGAATTTCGTATATAATCCAATTTGGATCCAAATAATTTTGGAGAATTCCGAAGTCGGAAATTCATAATTCGGATTGAGAAATATTATTCCAAAATAAAAAAAAAAATCTGTTTGAAATCAACAGAATTCGAAAATTCCGTTCCAATTTCCACCCTTACGCTTGGTGTACGTTGTCAAAATAGAGTATGTATATAAGTTGTGTATTAACACTTTAATTACTTTCAAAGCGTGAAGAAATTAAACCATTATATTTATAATTTGAGGCTTTCGAATTAGTTTGTTGTTTGCAATTAAAGAGAAACGCACGATCTTGCCATTTTTTTTCATAGAAACTTTGGAGGGTTTTTAATAAAAATATTTGACCAGCATATCGAGGATTGATATTTCCGAAATCGAGGCTTGCGTCAGAAATCGAACGCCTCATAACAACCTTCTTTTCTCGAACATCAATCGTGATCTTTTCCAAAGACAACCGCATCGAATCTATATTATTCACCGCCTCCGCGACCGACAAAATATTCGCCACCACAATTACGATCGTGCCACCATCATCTTCCTCCCATGCATTAACTGCATGCATCATGTTCAATCCATGCACATCAATCCACCACATTTCTCTCTCATGAACAGCGTATCTCGGAATAATTCCGATCGTGGAAACTTTATCCAGATCGGCTTTCAGTACGTTCTTTCCTCTCACTAACGCCAGGTCGGGTCGATTCGGAAGTAGGTCAAAAATGGAGGGACGACGAAGTATCTGTAAGCAAAGGCTTCGCCAGTTTCCGCGTCGATTTTCGGGTGGGCCGTCATGTTCAAGAAAAGGTTGGTTATGCCGCTGCCGCCGCTGTGGAAGAAGTCGTGTCGGCCGACGGTGACTATATCACCGTCTTTGGTGAACTTCAAAGCGTACGGGAGGTCGTATTCTATATATTAAGGCGAGGAGGTTTCCGGCGAATACGAATAGACTGATGTTTGCTCGTGGGAGGAAGCTCGTCCACCGGAGAAAAGTTGCCGGAAAGTGAGTGGTTCGGGTCGATGTATGGCGGGAGACGAGACAAGTCGGTTAATCTAGTTACGAAATCATTTAATGGCTTGAAGATTATTTCGTGTAACGACGATGATTTTTTTAATTTGGCTTCGAATTTTTGTGCAATTAGGGTTTTTACGGGCCGAAAAATGTTGAAGGAGGAGTTGTTGACGATGGACATTGTACGAGGTTTCTTTGTTGGAGTTCCGACGGCCGTGGTCGGAGTTTTGGAAGGAAAGACGACGAGGAAAGAGTGTCCATATTATATTTTATTATATTATTTGGCTTATTTAATTTGTGGGTACGTAGTGATATGTTATTAGCAGAAATTGGATTTGGTTTTATAGCCTGAAATTGAATTTCTATTCCAATATAATAATCAAATAAAATAGAAAATTAACATTTCACGTAAAATTATTTAATTCAGCAGGTGATACTTGATCAATTTAGAGTTGACTTTCGCAAATAATATGGGGAATCTTTTTATAAATACATGTGAAAGACGATGATTATTATATTTATTTAAATATTTTAACAATATATCTTAATTAACTTATATATAGTGTTTTTTTTTATGGGTTAATTAGAGAGAACCCCTCATAACACATTTGTCAACAGTGATTCAAAAATGGCACAATAAACTGAAGAGAGCAAAACTAAGCAAGTTCACTCTAAACGGAAGAGAGCTACAAATCATATATATTTAATATATTAATCTAAAAATTGTCGGTGAGAAAATCGATAATTAAAAAAAAAAAAAAAAAATTGGAATCGGAGATCGATATTAACGAGCTACAGAAACAACCCCGGATGACAGTATATGTATATATTAAAATGAATTAATCAGTGATCTTAGGTATCGAGGTTGAACCGGAGAAAATATGGCCTAACTGATAAGAAATCTTGTTGATGGAAGAATCCCGGTTAATTAGCGGCTCTGACGACTTGGAGATTCCGATGGTCATCGCCACCTGTCTTTCTCTATAGGATGCCCACGTCACCAAATAAAGCCCAGCTATAATCAAAAGTCCTCCAAGAATACTGTTTTTCAAAGTAATGGATGAAATTAAATGGCTGTGAAGAAAAGCAGAGATGTTAAAAAACAAGAGTGGAAGAATGATAACCTTCCCAAATAAATCGGGCTTCCAAGGAATATTCTCGACAGAAAAGCCGATGCTGCAGGTTGGAGAGGATTATATAAAGCAACCAATGCAGGGCCGAGCGTTTTATTGGACCATGTCAGAAGTCCGTAGTTCAAAGCAGATGCTATAACTCCCTACACGAGAGGCAAATGTATTAAAAGGGTCGGTTCAAGAACGAAGAAATAGAGAAAACCCGTTATTTTTCTTGCCTAAATGGAAAAGCATGCACAGAGAGAGAGAGAGAGAGAGAGAGAGAGACTTACAGCATAGCATACGGCGAAAACCTCAGAGCGAGTGAGATTCCAGTCGGTTGATTCGTTTGTCATGAAAAAAGCGGTGACTACCATGAACAGACAACCGAAAAAGTAGGAATATGCTGTCACCGATATACTCGCGGGATACTTGGCTAATAGTGGAGCCTGCACAGAAAGTAAATTTCGATAAGCATCTAATACCGAGTTATTAAACTCGTGCAAATACACCTATAGCGAGAGAGAAAGGGTGTTCGACGTTTTATAAGAAGTAAAGGTAACTAACTGTTTCTACCAAAATCATATTTAAAAAATGGCTAATTTCCCCTCAACCAAACGAGGCCATTAATGCAAATTACAAACATCGAGAATGATATACGTTGATTACCTGAATGGCGAGATAAGTGGCCATGCACATGCAGTTCCCGAGAAGGCACAAAACACCAAGGTTCCAATTATCGAACCCTAAATCAAGAAAGCTGGATATTAACCAGCCAGCAGGTTCCGGCTGACCTTTGGCACTTATTTCGTTGTGTGCTGCAAAGTCTAATTCCTTATATCCGAAAAGAACTGGACCACGGAACATAGCCATTAGAATGGCACCACAAACGCAAACAACGGTGCCTCCTAGCTTTGCTTGACCTTCGTTTTTTCGTAAATTAACAGTTTCTGTACTGCACATGGAACAACCTCGTGTAAGAACGAAAGATAAAAAAGTTTTGTCTGTATGTTTGTGAGGAGGAAACAAAAAAGAAGAGGAAATTGATTGGAAACATACGTATCTGATTTTGCATGAACATGCAAGCAAGCATAGACAAACTCAGAAAGCCCTCTGTGTGTGTGTGTGCGTGCGCGTGTGTGTGTGCGTGTGCGTGTGTGTGTGTGTGTGTGTGTGTGTGTGTGTGTGTGTGTGTGTGTGTGTGTGAGAGAGAGAGAGAGAGAGAGAGAGAGAGAGAGACTGACCCCATCACTACAGCCAATATGAATGTAAAGACTGGAATAGCGGGCTGTACGGCTGCAGCATACGTTGGATTCGTGTAGCCAAGACCAAGAAGAAATAAAAGTTGGTTCCCGAATATACTAATCCAATAGCCAAGCGACAAACGAAAAAACATATAGAAATTATTAGTCTTTTTGTTAAGCCAGAAAATTAAATTAAACACATAAATTAAACAGAACGGTAACAAGTTACCCAGTTAAACCAAGAAAGAAGAACGCTGTTATAAACCGTCTATTTAGTGGCAATCTCAACCTCCTGCAAAACAAGAAACCGAACATAAGAAATCCGCTTCTGCGGCATTCGTATCAACAAATAAAAGAGATTCCAGCAACAGTTGATAACGAACAGAATTCAATGGTTTCACTAATTTACGATATTACATTAGTACTCGAAATAAACATATTTACTTATAATCAATAGCATCAACAAGAACACCTTTCTTTAGGTTAGAATTCAGGCTCGAACGGTTGACAAAGAAAAAACTACTTATTATTCTTATTGTATGACGAGTTTCACTACGAAACAGTCACCACCAGCTAGGTTAACGCAGATTCATCGTTAATACAAGTCCGTTTGGATATCATATATAACATATTCCTCAGGAACAAGATCGAGACACTAAAATCGACTACATCTAGTAAGATTTGTTGGGAGCGAAAGGCAGAAAAGAAAAACTAGCATCTTGTAAATTGACGAAAACCCACAACAATACGACTCGAGTATATGTAATCTCCATCCAAACCAATGCAATCTTGAATTTCACGCGCAATACATCTTTTTCACCGTAACGATAACCGGAAAACGTTCGCAGCCCGCTTCCACATTTGGCCTAAACACCACCATCGTACATTCATTTCTTCGCCAATATCCGTCTGCAAATACTACGAACACACCCTATTCGAAAATCTGAACTTTCGATCTAGGTTTGTATCGAGACGGAAGATAGCAAGTGAACCCACACTTAAAAGTATGATTCCCCTTTTGAACAGTGGACACTTAACAACCTAGTAAAGGGACCTTCCAATTTCAAGAAACACACTTCACCTTGCAGTAGGAGAAAAAAAATTGAAACAAAAATAGAAGCAACCCACATTACATTAATCCATGCATATATCCTTCAAAAGCTTAAAATTATTCTTATCAGTCTCAAATTCTCATCAAACGCCGTAAAATACATAAATATTAAGAGAGAGAGAGACTGACTTCTCACGGGCATATGCGACGGGGGCGAGAATCGAGAGGGCGAGGAGGTCTCTGTAGACGCAGAACACGAGCTGGTTGACGCCGACGTTGAGAGCCACCTTGGTGATGACGTGGTAGCCGCCGTTGAAGACCTGCACCGCCGCCATCGCCATATGGGCCCTCCAAACGTCGCCGCCGTTTGCGGCGGAGGACGCCATTGCTGCGGATATGCTCTTCATAACAGCACCGATCTCATCCCAAATCACTCTCCCCACGCGCTGAATGTATAGACTGGATTGTTCTTGTTTGGGGGCTGATCGGCGTGAAAAGTGGGGTTGCGCGAATCGCGAGGAAACGGAGGTGTGGGCGGTGGAATTACTTTGATGCGGCGGTGGTGCAATTCTTGTGGTCTGGTCACGTTTGTAAGGTGAATTGTGAAGATTTTGTGGGTACCCCAGAGCAGAGAGAGAAGAGAGAAGGGGGAGTGAGAAACTGTGAACTGAGAATTTTGCATTTTTTATTATTATTATTATTATTATTATTATTATAATATAATCATTAGCCCATTTAATAAATTAAATTTATTAATTAAATAAATTATTAGCCCATATCTAATGAGTTTCAATTTGACAGCTAAAACGGCCGCCCCGAAAAGGATTCCAAAGAGGAGACTTTTATTTGTGACATTTACTAACTACACAAACACCTAGGGTTAATAATGGAACACAGTTAACACTTTTATTTCTTCTAAAATTGAATAATTCATTTCAATTATGTTGCCGAATTTCAAAAATTGGAATGATTTTTTTTGTCGCAATCGGCGAAATTTCAAAATTTAAAATGTTTGTCAATTGACCCAAGAACTATCGCTAGGTCGACTTTGTTACATATGGTTAGCCTAGTGTTTTTTACGTATTTTGTAATGTTTGCAAGTTAATGTGGTTGGTAGCGGATTCCTTTATTACAACAACAAAAAAAAATTGGGACAGCAAAAAAAAGTCACAGTTTTTGAAAGTATTTTCGAGAATTAAAATCAAATGAGAAATCGAATACTCATATACATTCCAATTCCCCTCCAGCAAAAAATCAGAAAAATAATAAAAAAAAAAAAATTGAATTCGAAATGATAGGGAATGTTCGAAAATCGGAAATTTTTGAAACGGATGCACTTTATCCATATATCTAGTACGATTTCTATGCTAGACCCCGTAAACTTCACCGGTGATTTTCATGAGCAATTATGATAGTACGTCTAAAAGTCTCGTAAAATTATCTTACAAAAAAAGTCCCGTAAATTATCGACGACGCAGATTGGTGGTGTCTCTATTCAAGTTCTCCATTGCTAAAATTACATAGAATTAATTAAAGAAAATGTCATTATGTATACAAATCTTATAGGGAAGTGATTATCAAAAAAAAAAAACACAACAACTTCAAATTCCCAAAATGGTTCTTATCTGATCAGGTGGATGTCTAGCCAGTGACCTAGGATCCGGATACCCATTTTCCGGATCCATAATTCCCTTATAAATAACTTCATACGCTTCCGCAAGAGACTTCCCCAACTGAACGGAAGCTTCCGATCTCAAACTCGGCGACTGTATCTGTTCAAACTCAGGCAAAGAATTCTCACTCCCCAAAACGAACCCAAAGAAACCCTTCAGACACTCCGAGAGTACACCTGGCGACATATCTTCTCTATCCGCCAAACGCGCAGATTCGCCAGCTGGCAGAGCATCATTGGACGAAAACTGAGACATCTTATTGGACAACCCACATTTTCGCAAAATAGAATCGACTTCCTTTTCGACGAGGCCGTAAATGTGGCTCTCTATCATTGCACCGAGCTTCTTCACGTACTCGGCTGCCACCTCGTGTGTCAACAGTGGTTGTCTGATGGCACTTAAGCAGTTGATCAGGAATATTCTAGAAGGTGTTTCCCGGGTCTGCATAGAAATAGAAGCCAATTAAAAATATTGAAAATGTAGTTTGATTTTGGATTGTTAAGAAGGCGGATATATATATATACCTGAGACGAAGGGGTAGAATTGGTATTCTCTAAAATAGCATCTACAGAAGATCTGCGGAGTTGAGCTGGGTCTGAACCTACTCTACTTCTTCTTGATGACTGTATTACTCCCTTCGACTTGTGCGCCTCTGCCGCTTGTTCACACATCTGAATATTTATAACATTAATCCGGAATTAGTTTTTCACTTCAAAAAAAAATTGGATTTTTTTCTGAAAGTATTTCCTATTCGATCCATCCGATGTCCATCGCTAGACATAATTAAGTTGTTAATTTGGAATAAAATTGTTTTTTAAGTTCTAAAATATTTGTGAATCAGAGAGCGCACCTGAATAATGGGATCTAGCAGGGCAGATATGACAGGTTCGAACAGAGGCTTTTTGCCCGAGACTGGAACCATTACACTGCTATATGTTTCGATTATTTCAAGCAGCACCGAAACTCCTTCCTTTAGCGCAGAAGGTGGAGAAAGATCAACAGAAACTGGGGGAGGGTACCGTAGAATCTTCTCTCCTCGAGTTTTTAGTATGTCGAAAAAGGTTTTTTGAGCAGCATCTTTTAAAGCCCAAAGCGTATTACACAAAGCTGTTTCCCTCCCTAGTAAATCTGATATCTGTGGATAAAAAGTTGAGTCGAACAGAAAGAGGAAATTATAAAGAAGAAACTGCAAGAAATTTTTGAAGTTTTTAAGTAGAGAAAAACTCACGGTGTGGCTGTAAAACTCCAGGGTGTTATTTAGCTTGTATGAGATTATAAGGTTAGGCTGTGACTGCAGAACTTGTTCGACTCTCACTTTAAATGGCCGACAAACTCCTTCGAAGATCCTGTCTAGAACAAATGTCATATCTGATTCTGTCTTTCCTACATCACTCTCTGGAATGTTGGAGAATCTTTGAGCAATTGGTCCAGTATCTGCCGATGAATCAGGGTCAAGCAACGCAAGAACAAGTTCTCTTTCAGACGCCAAAGCCTGTAGAAATGGAAACCATAAGCAAGAAAAAAGTTCATAATTGGAGATTAAAAAATCACAACTACATTCCAAATAAATGATAAAAAAAAAATAATAATAATAATAATAAAATTACCTGATGCAGCCATCCCAGCATGTCGCCTACGTATCTTAAAGGGTCGTGAGCATGAACTTCAATTGGTCTAGGTAGCCCACCATGTCCTCCACGTGTAAGGGCACTAATAAATCTTCTGAAAAGTGCATTGTGTCTCATATTTGCCACCTGTGTGGTCAAATAATTATGTACAGAAACAAATTATTGGAAATGCATTCCTTAAAGGTTTCTGTAATGTCTAGATTTTATGCAAATACCTCTTCTGCACAGTACTTGAAAAGGACAGGCCTTGCTTTGAGGCATCGAACAGCAGTTTTTAGGAGCTCACTAACTTCAGGATTGTCAACATCTCCAAGTCTCCTACACTCGGCTTGGACCCACCTAGATAGGAGAAAATGCCACATGTCCTAAGAAATCAATCGTAATGATAGAGAATGAACCTTCAACGTGGGCAGAAATAAAATATATGCATATGCTCGTGCTTTTACAAAACAAGGATTGTTTCTCTTACATTCTAGAAGCATGCATTACGAATTATTGCCTGACAAACTCGAAGAATATATGAATACTTTACTCAACTTTTTTTTCCATTCTTATATAGAAATTACCTGCACAGTCGTTCATAGGCACCTTCTTGGTAGACAGCCATCATATCCATTAGCTCCAAACCAGCTCGCTGCGAAAAGTATTCAAATGAGTTCCAAAGTTTTAAAGAATGTATATTAGAATGTAAATGGTGAAAAGATAAGGTCAAACTTGAGTACATTAGACGAAGGAAAGACAAGCTCTAGAAAAGATTATAGTCCCTTTATGCCACATTCATTGTTCCTTTTTCATTCTCTAATTCCATTTCCTACTACTTATCAGAGCATTATTATACAGATACTACAATCTTTCAGATTTCAATTCTCAACTAAAACTTCGAACCTAATGGAATGGGCCTGTACAAGTGGATTTGTTGTAAGGGATTATAAGGGCTAAAATTACATGGCTTAACAACTTTTGGTTGTAAGAAACATAAGGTAGAAAAAAGTCATTAAAAAGGTGGCAATTTCCATAGTTCAATAAATTCTAAAATAGTTTATTATGGCAGAACTGGTGCCATTAAGTAGCATATGCTGCATAGACGAAAATAGTATATTTAAAAAAAAATCCTATCCCCATCATAATGAAAATAAGATTTTAAGATTACTAAACAGGATTTTGGGATGACACAAGTGAATAATAAATTTCTTCTTAATAAAATATGAAGGATATGTAAGAGGATCTCCGTCTGTGAGTGCATATATATATGAGAGAGTGGGAAGAAAATGATGATGAACCTGGTGGTGTGTCCTTAGCAATACTTTGCAATTGGCATGGATTTCATGAACATGAGCAAGTGCCTTGAAAAAGTTCTCACTCAGGTCTTCCTCCCGTAACGCATTTATCTGTCAAAAAGAACAGCCATAACCAAAAATACAGATGGTTAAGCATACTAATAATACCCTGGATGGTCATGGCTAGAACAGGTTCACTTTCGAAGAATCAGCCAATACCTCATCATTCGAGAGCTGATAGTCACGAAGAAAGCATGACGCAATCTCTTGCCTCTGTGTGGTGTTCTCAAGCTCATGTTTAAGCCTCTCCGTGGTACTTATAATATCACCAGTGGTAGCATTACAATTATTTAAAGCTTTTGCAATCCTACAACATAAAAAGATTTAAATCATGCTACCATTCGATAAGTAGAGTCATATTTTCACGGATCAAATCAAACATTTTTAATAAGGGTTAAAATAGGAATAAACATTCAAAATAAACCAGAATGTGAAGGAAACAAAGAAAATTTTCATATTGCCGGTAGATGAACAGTTGGATAAGACACCCACTCCAAGAGTAGAACTCATGGCTCACGCAACCGAAAGTGTCGAAATAATTTTAGCATCTGGCGAACATAAGCGAGTGATTGTAACATTTTTAGTCTCATTATGAATTTCCTCAGTCAATGTCACCAGTGCCGTATAATACACTGACTCGCATATTTTTCTAACATAGTATTTTGCTACTACTGGTTCTTACATTTAAGATCAGTGGCACTTTTAAAGAGCACTAGATAAATTACCCCATCATAATGCAGTCCTAAAGACAAACACACATGGATATTAATAATTAAAAAAATGACGTCAATTTTTTTCTAGCTAAACCACATAATAAAATGAAAATACACTACAAGGTAAAAGCAAGTTATCAAGTGAAAAAATTTTACAATTCATAAAGGAAATAAAATTGGGGAAGAAGAAAAGAAGAAAGTACTTGATAAGAAACAAAAAAAAAAAGGAAAATGGATGCATACTTATCACAACATTCAGCCAGTGCATTGACCTCTTCCTCAACCTGATCCAAGGCCTAAAAAAGCCCATTCAAATACACTATGATTAGATACCAACCTACAAAGAGAGGAAAAATAACATCGAAAATATAGCTACCACACCCAAAGATCGACTTATATAAATTATAACGCCTGATGAAACAATCAAGGCAAAGGAAGTACAAAGCATATCTCTGCATCTGAATACCACTACGTCAATTTGAGTTAATCTTAGCAATACCAGGCCATGCCATGTATGATGCATCATCAAAGATTTTTGGCCCCCCAACATTACTAACTAGAATTTTCTTTTATAATTCTTTTGTAGGCTTTCTCAACCTCATTTTTTTACTCCTCTCTATATTCTCAATTCGGATAAATTCATAAATCTTCGTAACATTTTCATGCTTCCTCATGCTCTACCTCAAAATGAATTTCGAACTTCCTAAAAGTAAATGTGTTGGTATTTTGCATCCTGCTATGTAAAACGTTGTTTTGGGGAAGGCCAAATAACATACAGAGTTCAAAGGTGACATCCATTTTGCAATCTTGGAGGAGCATTATATGATTTACCTGGTTAATGAACCTTTTGTTGGCACAAAGTTTTCTCGACACAAATATACAAGCATTTCTTTCAGATGCGTTCATACGCAAAAGATAAATCAATTTATTATGTCCTACATAGTGTGACATGATGGATCGGCTGATATAAAGCAATTAGCTTTGTTAGTTTCTTGTCTGTAGCTTCTAACTACCAACATAAATATAATCCAATAAGCTGAGATTAGAATGGAACAAGAAAATTTGCATCCATCTAATTTAATGACTTTATTTTGCGAACAAACAACATACTTGTAACAAAATTATATTCTCAGAAAAAAAAAAAAAAGATGTTACAAAATACTAGTCAATGAGTTGAATTCTACCCCCAATCCACAAAATTACTAAGTTAACAACCAACCAATCATCTAATGAAGTATTCATTTGTTAAATTCTGAAGTTTAGAACATATCATCAGATAAACAATTGAACACTGATCCATCTCTACAATGCACCAACGAAAAACAGTTCATAATCACATAGTTCGATTCATTTGCAGCACCACTAAAACAGAGGTACAACCAACAATTCAAAACAACGATCAGGTCCAACGATTGAGAACATCAACAGATCACAAAAACACACAATTCACGGCGGCAAACAAAAAACAAAAAAACAGCAAGTTGCACCACCACGCGCTTCAGTCTGCGTACCTGTTGGGCGGAGGCGGAGGCGTCGAGGAACTCCTCGTTGATGGATAGGCCGCGGTTCTCGATGGTGGATCGGAGATTCCGGCGGGATTGAGGCGTGTTGTCGGAGTAAAAGCTGGAGAGAGTGTTGAGCGACGCGAGCAGATCGGGCGCGTCGGTGCGAGTCTCCAGCACCTTCTTCAGCTTCCGCGACAGCCCCGGCGCCAGTGCGGTGGCCGTCCCCATTTTCTCTCTCTAGAATTTTCCGGCCGCCGATAAATTCATCAAGTTGTACGTAGGACTTGAAAATCTCGCCAAAGTCCAAAACCTTCCCTCTTCTGCTTCGCTGATTTTAAGATCTACCAGAAAACGCTGTGTTTCAACGGTAACGCCGTAACGTCGAGCGAAAGATGATGGTTAAGTTGGAATAAAGGTACAACTCGCTAAGCACGGTGTACAACTATTTTTATATACGAGCTTCGCTATCTGGAGCCCGGCCCATATAACCTGGGCCTCATAGTTTCAAACTATAGTAATTTCATTGAGCCCGGTAAATATATTGAAATTAATCAAGTGGATTTATAGGTTCATAAGCCCAAGTTCAATAGAACCATACCAATAAAAATATGGTTAATTAATTATTATTATTTTTATTTTTTTAATGAAGGAATCTCCAGCCAACCGTATAGCTGCACTGGGTAAACCTATACTCTCGTATAATAACATGATTTGCAAATCATACGAAAGACGTAAAACCACATTAGGTTAACTATGTGTGACAATCTCGACCTAACGACTGTTGACAAGGAGATTCGAACTTTGGTCAATTGATACAAGCTCACTTACTACCGTTAGATCATCCCTCACGGGATTAGGATTATGTTTAATTAGGTGTTAGCACTGTAGTAAATTAAATTGAGCTAATAGCACAGACCCCCCTGTGTTATTTCTAATTGGCATAAAAGCCCTTATGATAAAATAATTAGCAAATACCCCCTTACGTTTGGTTTTATATAGCACACCGCCCCTTTTTATCAGATTTAATTGTTGACTTGAATGAAATTACAAAATTAACCTTCATTAAAAAATGCAATATACAGAAAATCCAATTGAAAAGTTTGTGAAAAAAAAATAAAAAATAGAGAAGTCTTTTCTCTTCCCCGTTGACCCACTCCCACCCCAAAATAATTCTTCTTCAACAACCATCAAATAAGCCATTTTTACTGTTCCCCTTCTTCCTTCAATCTTCCACCACCATACCCAACCGCCATTACCTCCACCCGTCGTCGCCGCCGCACCATACTCTGCCGGTGTTAGCCGTCACCACCATACCCAACCGCCATTACCTCCATCCGCCGCTGCCCCCGCCCCATACTCTGCCCCCATAGGCTGCCCCCGTCACCACCATACCCATTCGCCGCCGCCGCCCCATACTCAACATGCTTGTGTCCCTTCTTCGTCGATGGAATTGTGGATATGTCGCCGGTTGAAATGGTCGGAGTTTCTCCGGAGAGATGGAACAGAGGAAAGGAGACCGCTTACCTTCCCCTTTGGCATTTGTCAGATTTGGGAGTGGGGAGTTCTGGTGAGGTACCTTCCAAACATTTTGCCGGAAAAAAAATATATTTGCAAAGGAGGCATCATCAGGAAGCACTGTGTGTGTGTTTTGCGTGAAAATTGTGGAAAGTTTGATTGGGGAGGAGATAATTTGGAGAGAGGGCGTTTTAGAAATTGTCAAGGACTGAATTGAAAATACTTAAAGCTTCAATTTGGGGTTATGAAAATTTTGAGGCTAATATGTAATTTTCCACTTTTTATTTAAAGGGTATTTATATTTTTTCAGGTCAAAATATGCATCCCAGCCGCACAATGAGCGCGTTCAGAACACGATAAGATGTTAGGGACTTTATTGGCTTTGACTAACTTTCATAGGGGGGTTCTTGCTAATTTTTTTAATACAAGGGGTTTTTTAGCAATTAGAGATTACACAAGGGTGGTTCTTGCAAAAAACCCCAAATTAAATTGGTTTGCATGTTTACGAAATCTATATTTAACGACTCTCGAGTTCGATCATCTTATTAATACTTTACAAGTTGAGCTCGTCGCACATGGTTTGTCCAGTGTGATGATACATACATCTTGTCCGAATTGAATGCTATTGCACCTATCAATATTCAATAATATCTTCATATTAAAAACTAATCCCACTTAAATATTCATATATAGAAAGAATCTAATAAGCTAAAGAAAGAAAAAAAAGTGAGTGAAATAGATATGTGCAAGGACAAATTGGTAAAGATCCGATCCAAATTGATGCTTACGTTAGACCTAGATTTTGTGTGCGCGTGCCAAAAAATAAGAATATTAAAATTGCAAGATACCCCCTATGATTTTGTAGACACACAATCATGCCAATTATCATATTTCTCCCACTTACAACAACCTAAGAGCTGGATTTTTAGATTTATTTATTTGCTTTTTTGTCCCGATTACACCTTCATAAATCATAATTGATATTTATATTAATCATTATTTACCCATCATTATTGCATATCATAGCACCCCCTCTAGATTTCATGTGTGCATCATTATTACAACAATAATACTTCTAATGATGCACCATCCTTTTCAATCACTCGCGTTCAGATTTTTTTTCTTAATTGAGAAAATCGCAGCCAATCATATAAGTGCACTGAATAAACTTAAAATCTTCCTATAATAATAACTTGCAAAACCATACGAGAGACGGAAGTGTGACAAGCTCGACATAGCGACCGTTGATAAGGGAATTTGAACCTGTGTCAATTGACACAAGCTCACTTGCTCCAAAAATCAGACCATCCATTGCGAAATATGTCAGAGATCTATTGCATACATTTAAATTAAGCGATGAAACTAAAATGTATGACGACGTCAGACACTACTAGTTCTCCTGAAATCAATTAACATAGAGACTATTCATCGAATAGAATAATAATTTTATTGAATTCAATTTGGAAATAAAAAATGAGTAGAAAATAGAAATCTCTCTCTCTCTCTCTCTCTCTCTCTCTCTCTCTCTCTCTCTCTCTCTCTCTCTCTCTCTCTCTCTCTCTCTCTCTCTCTCTCTCTCTCTCTCTCTCTCTCTCTCTCTCATATATATATATATAATGGAATGTGTACGTAATTATGGATAAATAGGTGGTGGTGATGGTCCAAGTGGGAGTACAACTAAAGGGCAAATGAAGAGGAATAAAAAGGCACACATATATACACGCGTGATGTTATGCTGTCTACATGCAAATCTCCAACCGACGGCCATTGTTATGCAATGCTTACATGTGTTATTCCTCCACATCACCCCCACTCACATGCCACCACCCCACGCGCCACCCATCAGTACATGGGCGTGCATCCACTGCAGCACCACTTTATCGTATACTACTAGGGTTTCGGGGTGTACGACCCCGATTGATTGATCGTTAGAGATCAACGGTCAAACTAGTTGAACCGCATATACCGGTCGGTTGAACGTTTTACCTCTAGTAGTGGAAATCGGACATATAGTCACTTTCCGAAAATTTTCAATTTTTTTTTTTTTTGAAGTAGAAAATTAATTTCAATTCCGTTCCAATAAATCGGAGATCGAAAAGAAATTGGAAATTAAAAGCTTGTTCCAAAATCATATATTTTCGAAACGGATCGGAATAGATGGAATTCGGATTTTCCAATATGATTTTCATTAACGTATAATATCAAATAACAGTAATGTCGATTTTGATAAGTAAAATTTTTCGGAAAATAATCAGAAAGTTTGAAATTAAAATCGGATCGGAAATCAAAATCCAATACGTATTCCAATTATGTTCCAAAATATATCATAAAAATCGAAATCGAAGTTTTCGCAATTCGTGAATGAATGAAAAACATTGTTTCAAAATTAAACGAATTATTGTGCTCTCCTATAAATAGTTATTTTTCTTGTAGCGTGTCGGGATACGATATTCCGACCGTGAATTGTTAGTTCCGACCATTGAACGAGCGGTTCTTGAACATGGTCATATATGCTCGAACCCTCGTAAATCTTTAATTCACCGTCACTTTCGATGACCATTGATTTATTTTTTTTATTTTTTTTAAATATCCTGGAATTAAAAGTTTATGGTGTTGTCTGTAAATATAGATACAGATGCAATATTGGATTTTATGGATATCTTATAATCCGTTACTTTGCGATTGGTGTCTAATCATTGAAATCAAATTCCGAATATAATCCGGAATTGGTTGTAGTAGTGATTTCAAAATTTGTTCTAGAACAAAATCATTTCTAAATGAGGAGACATTCCACTTGCCTACACGTGTCTCACTCCCATACGGTGTTCTTTTTAATTGTTTTTTATTTATTTATTATTTATTTCGTTTTTTTTTTTTATATTAAATGACTTGAATTTACTCAAAAAAAAAAAAAACGTCTTAATTTAAATGTTTTAATTTGAATTTATACATATTCAAGGGGGGAAAAACTACTTTTCTTGCCAAGGATATCAATTTCGGATCGTAATTGACAGATTCGGAAATTTTTTTTTTTTAATTCACATATAATTTTTGAAAAAATCGAAATTCGGGAATTGAAATCGAATTGGAAATCCAATTTTCATAAATTCCAAGTAGAAGATGTTGTTCCAAAATCAAAATTGAATAATAATCATTGAAAGGGCCAATTTTGTCACTCACGATTAGAAACCTATATATAAATATTTCACGAGCTCATTTCTAATCTTCGTGATAATTTACATTCTCCAATTTTCGCTCGAATTAACTTTGCTCGTTTATAAGTGACGTGGGCTAAGTCCAATCGATCTCGACCACATCGTCTAGGTTAGTGGTAACAATTTTATTCAAATCGCAACTTGTGGCTAACATCATTATATAGACACCTAAAAACGTGAAGATAAGCTAGCAACTTTCGATCTCAATCATGACTATTATTTTAAGGGTAAAATTCATTTTGCACCCCTGTACTATGATAAATGTATCGTTTACCCCCCTGAAGTATTGAAAACATCAAACACCCCTCTGCCGTTAGTTTTTTTCTTCTAATTCCGTTAGTCAAACAGTTTGACCGACTATTGCAAAGAAATGTTGGCTTTTTTATTAATGAAAATACCCCAAAAAATTTCTATATATAGGAAAAGCGAATAGCGAAAGTAGTTACACGGT